ATTTTCTTCTCTAGGTGACCTCATGGACCGGCCAATGCCAGAGTTCCTTGTCGGCCATCACTACCCCCAGCTCCTTCAGAGTCAAGCCAGTCACTTCAAGGACACCATCCATCTTGCCCTTGGTTGGTCCCACTTCCTTTTTCCCAAGCATCATTGTCCTCTCTAGGTGACCTCATTGACTGGCCAACGCCAGAGCTCCCTGTCAGCCGTCACCACCCCCACCTCCTTCAGAGTCAAGCCAGTCACTTCAAGGATGCCATCCATCCATTGCCCTTGGTCGGCCCCTCTTCCTTTTTCCTTCCATTTTCCCCAGCATCATTGTCTTCTCTAGGTGACTTCATGGACCACCCCAATGCCAGAGCTCCCCGTCGGCCATCACCACCACCACCTCCTTCAGAGTCAAGCCAGTCACTTCAAGGACGCCATCCATCTTGCCCTTGGTTGGTCCCACTTCCTTTCCCCTTCCATTTTCCCAAGCATCATTGTCCTCTTTAGGTGACCTCATTGACTGGCCAATGCCAGAGCTCCCTGTCAGCCGTCACCACCCCCAGCTCCTTCAGAGTCAAGCCAATCACTTCAAGGATACCATCCATCTTGCCCTTGGTCGGCCCCTCTTCCTTTTTCCTTCCATTTTCCCCAGCATCATGGTCTTCTCTAATTTCACACAGCTTTACATTTCTGTGTTTTGACTAGTGGGGGAACATAAAGATTCAAAGGTGAAGCCCTTTGGAGATAGGGAATCAACCATATGCTATGGTCCTTTCCTGAATACGAGAAAAGAACTGACATATTTATTTATTTGCTTTATTTCTATACCGCATTTTTCAGCCCAGTCAGGCAACTCAATATTTACCACAGTTGCTTTCTCCAAACCAGTTTCTATAAATCTCTTTTTTTCTTTATCAAGTTAGATCACTTCATTACTGTACTCTCTAAGATACTGTACTAATAAAAAAGTAGATAAGTAGGTAAGTCCACTATTCTGTCCAATATTAACCTGCCAGAGCAGTGTTTCTCAACCTTCTTAATGCCTTGACCCCTTTACACAGTTCCTCATGTTGTGGTGACCCCCAACTATAAAATTATTTTCGTTGCTACTTCATAACTGTAATTTTGCTCCTGTTATGAATCATCTTGTAAATATTTGATATGCAGGATGTATTTTCATTCACTGGACCAAATTTGGCACAAATACCCAATACGCCCAAATGTGAATACTGGTGGGGTTGGGGATGGGATTGATTTTGCCATTTGGGGGTTGTAGTTGCTGGGATTTATAGTTCACCTACAACCAAAGAGCATTCTGAACTCCACCAACAATTGAATTGAACCAAACTTGGCACACAGAACTCCCATGATCAACAGAAAATACTGGAAGGGTTTGGTGGGCATTGACCTTGAGTTTGGGAGTTGTAGATCACCTACATCCAGAGAGCACTGTGGACTCAAACAATAATGGATTTGGACCAAACTTGGCACAAATTCTCAATATGCCCAAATGTGAACACTGGCGGAGTTTGGGGAAAATAGATCTTGACATTTGGGAGTTGTAGTTACTGGGATTTATAGTTCACTTACAATCAAAGAGCATTCTAAACTCACCAACAATAGAATTGAGCCAAACTTCCCACACAGAATACCCATGACCAACATGTTTTCTGATGGTCTTTGGCAACCCCTCTGACACCACTTCGCGACCCTCCCAGGAGCTCTCACTCCCAGGTTGAGAAACACTGTACTAGAGAGAGATTTTCAAATACAATTTTCTGAAATCAGACTGGCTCTCATAAGCAATTAGCTCCTCTCTTAAGGATAAACTGGTTGCTACAGTTCATTCATGCAAAAATAACAGGACCCTATGACATCTGCGTCCTTGCTTGGCATATTCTTTCGCATGTAACTGTGCAGAGAGAGTTGATAATTGTGTGCACAGTATTCCGATGCTGACTTTGGCTGGTTTGAAACTCAGCACTCTAGGAAGAATCTAAATTATTTCCGTATGGCCATATAGTACGGTTGTCATGCCACAAGGGCTTGGCAGGAAGCGCTGGTGGTTTGGTGTGCTAAGTAGCTAAGTGAGGGTTATTACCCCTTCTTAGGCTATCTTGTAAGAGGATGAGGCCCTGGGGGTTCCAGACATGAAGCCCTGGCAAAGCTGGTGGAAGAGATCATTATTTCAGTACCTCTCCGTAAAGGCAAGGATACTTGATACAGCAGTATAGAGTTTAGACATCTCCATTTCAGACATAGTTATGGCCTTGAACCAACTGTTGTACCGAGCAAATGTGGAATTCTGTAGCGGTGATGCCCAGGAATGCTGAAAGGATTGCAATTTCAGTATGAAAACCATAATTCAGAGCATAGTTTATAGCTACATTTATAGTACCATATGGTTAGCAGTGGGATTATAATATACATAATTTTGATATAGTTGCTGCATCCCAGAATTTGGTGGAGGGTTCAATGTTAGCAGGTAGGTTATTAATTTGGATTGCTTGCAGGTATGCTTTTTCAAACAATGGAAGAATGGTGTTTCATTAAAACATCATTATCATTTGACTCAAAGGAACAGCAATGTGACTGCCATTAAAACAACAACAACAACATAATCATTTAGTACACTTCTAACTGAGGTAGCTCAACTACGAGGGTTATCTGGAAAGTAAGGTTACAAGATTTTTTAAAATACAATGAATAAATATATTTTAACAAAACTTACATGGATTGTAGCCTAGGTATTACTTTATTTTTCCACATAATCACCATTCAGTTCAATACATTTTGTCATCTGTAGGACGGATTTTTGGTGCCTGTGTCATTGAAGTTTCCCTCCGCCTTTTTCAGGCAGTTTGTCACTTCAATTTTCACCTCGTTGTCATTGGAAAAGTGTTTTCCACCCAGGTGTTCCTTCAATTTAGTGACCAGATGATAGTCACTGGTTGCGAGATCGGGGCTGTGAGAGGGGTGGCTTAAAACATGCCAACCAAATGAAGTCAACAACTCTTGTGTTGCATGAGCGGTGTGAGGGCACGCATTGTCATGAAGGAGACAGACTCTTGCCGTCACCATCCCACGGCGTTTGTTGTGCTGCGAAGTTACTTCATGGCCTCACAATATATTCCATACTCATTTTGTCACATGCTGTCTTGACATTACGTCTTCATAAACTGAAATGTTTTTACGATGAATTGCAGCGGTGTTCATGCCCTTGGCATTTAGGTAGGGTATTACAGCATGAACTTCGCACTTGGTGGGAAACGGAATGAGGACACTCATCTCTAACCTACTGAGCTACTGATGACTGGCACTGCTCATTCGCTTCCACTGGCTTCCCGCTACACGGCAGTGATACCAACTTCCCTTGAGAAAATTCCCCACAAGAGCTACATGCCTTGTAACCTTACTTTCTGTATATCTCTCATACAGCGCGAACATCACACTTGGCAGGAAACAAAATGAGGACGCACATCTCTAACCTTCACCACAATGCTAGTCGATGAGCTACTAACAACTGGCACTGCTCGCTCACTTCCTCTGGCTTCTCACTATACGGCAGTGATACCAACTTTCCCCGAGAAAATTCCCCACGAGAGCCACGTTCCTTGTAACTTTACTTTCCGGATAACCCTCATACATAGGAGTCTTGGTGATGCAATTTTGTCATTTAAGGGGAGGATTAGAGCTTCTAGTCTGGTCTTAGGAGGTTTGAAAATGCAACCCCTTCCCTCCTTGTTCTCGGATCCATGTATCTGTATTTTTAAAATTTAGGCAGTTTCTAACAGTGGCTTTTATTGAAAACTTTAAGTTGGCAAGCAAATCCTTATTTGCCTGAGTTGTTTCATATTTGTTTCCCCTTTAAGTTTCCCATTAAACTCTGGCCTGAGTAATGTATGTCAGGAAGAACGTTGCATGCAACCAACTACTTGTTCATTCCACTCACCCTTATCTCATCCAGGAGATATTTTATTTAAGCAATAATTGTGTTCCAGTTTGATGACTGAAAGTTGTTTATTTTTTTACCTCTAGCCATTTACTGCCTGTCACTGATTAAGAAGTCTGATTGACAAAAATATTTACTTGATAAGGTTATGGTAATGGGCAGGAACTGAATACGTTAAATGGCTTTCATAGACAATCATAGCCAGCTGCAATTGACAGGTCTGAAACAGCATCCCGCACCATTGCTTATGAGTGTTGGAGTCTTGGTTCTAACAGGAGTTTCAACCATGAAGCAAAATCTGCATGCCCCAACATTTTGGGGTTTTCCATGGATATTTTGGTTTTGTAAAAGAGTCTTTGCCAAAATATTTTAAAAAGATCCAGAAGGGCTAAAGGATTGCAATGCCAAAATGTTCAGCCACAAATCAGTCAGCACTTATTTAAAGATTTTTTTTAAAGCGCTTAGACAACCATTGTTGTGTAGGTTATTTGTTAAAAGCTGCAGAATAAGGAATATTCTTTTCAAAAACCATCACGGCATCTTAACATGATCTTTGTTTCTGATCTGAGCTGCATTGTTCCAAGTGAATGAGTTTGGATTTACACAGAGGTGGTCCTAGGTAATTTTCAACGGTAAGCAAACAGTATTTTGCGCCCCCCCCCCCCCCCCCCCAACCAATCACTGATATATATTTTCTGTTTGTCATGGGAGTTCTGTGTGCCATATTTGGTTCAATTCCATCATTGGTGGAGTTCAGAATGCTCTTTGATTATAGGTGAACTATACATCCCAGTAACTACAACTCGCATATGTCAAGGTCTATTTTCCCCCAAGAGTGCCTCAAGAGCGCCCCTGGGCAAAATCAACTATACTGCAAATGCTTAGTTTGCGTAATGGGTTGAACCGCCCCTGGATTTACATTGGAATTGGACTCTGACTCACTGGACGCTTGCCGCTCTAACCCTGGATTTGGAAGAGGGAATCCTCTTCGTGATCTGATCAATCTCTGTGATCTGGTCCAATTGTAAGAAAGGCTCAAACAAAAAAATGTTGCACTGCCTCATTTTTATTGACTCAAAAGAAAGAGGTACATATAATAACAAACATGTCACTGAGTCAAATTCAGCGGTCGCCATGCACCTCTTAATGTCTTTAAACACTTGCTCCAATGAATCCATAATGCCGTGGCTTTGCACTTTCCTGTTCAAATAAACAGGAAATGGATGTTCAAATGCATAAATTAAGCATAACCATGCACTGTATATACTCAAGTATAAGTCGACCCGAATATAAGCCCAGCCACCTAATTTAACCACCAAAAAACTGGGAAAATGTATTGACTCGAGTATAAGCCAAGGGTGGGAAATGCAACAGCTACAGATACATTTCAAAGCAAAAATAGATACCAATAAAATTACATTAATTGAGGCATCCGTAAGTTAAATGTTTTTGAATATTTACATAAAACTGTAATTTAAGATAAGACTGTCCCACTCTGATTAAACCATTATTCTAACCTTCTTCAATGGAAATGTGCTTACGTATCCTTCCAAGAATAAGAGTAAAATAATAAATGTAATAAAAATAATAATATAATGAATTAATGGAAAAGAAATAATAAAAGTAATAATAGAGTAAATTAATAAATGTAATAAAAATAATAATAGAGTAAAATAATGGAAATGTAATAATAAGAGTAATAATAGAGTAAAATAAGAAATGTAATAATGACAATAAATAGAGTAAAATAATGGAAATGTAATAATAGCAATAATAATATAGTAAAATAAGAAATGTAATAATAACAATAATAAAAAGAGAAAAATAATAAATGAAATAATAATAATAATAATAATAATAATGTAAAATAATAACTTTGACTCGAATATAAGTCGAGGGGGCTTGTTCAGCCTTAAAAAAGAGCTGAAAAACTCTGCTTATACTCGAGTACATACGGTATGTTAAGCCTCTATGTCTGCTTCTGATGGGGTTTCTTTCTGTTTCTTAACAGTCCATCCCTGCTCTTGAAAAGGATTCTCTCATGCACCAACCGTTCATTCATAATACCTATACTACTACTACTACTACTACTACTACTACATGCAGTTGGTTAATTCAGAATTAAATCCAACTTCCAGGATTGTCTATGTCTTCTAGGTTTAGACTCCATACACAGACTGATGGGCAAAGAAGCAAAAACCACCAGCACTGAAGCGATGGTCCTCCGCCATCAACTCCGCTGGGCCGGCCACGTTGTCCACGTGCCCAACCACCATCTCCCAAAGCAGTTGCTCTACTCCGAACTCAAGAACGGAAAACGGAATGTTGGTGGGCAGGAAAAGAGATTTAAAGATGGACTCAAAGCCAACCTTAAAAACTCTGGCATAGACACTGAGAACTGAGAAGCCCTGGCCCTTGAATGCTCTAGCTGGAGGTCAGCTGTGACCAGCAGTGCTGTAGAATTTGAAGAGGCACGAAAGTAGAGCGAAAGAGAGAAACGTGCCAAGAGGAAGGAGCGTCAAGCCAACCCCGACCGGGACCGCCTTCCACCTGGAAACCAAAGCCCTCACTGCGGGAGAAGATGCAGATCAAGAATAAGGCTCCACAGTCACCAATGGACCCACCGCCAGGACACCGATCTTGGAAGACTATCCTACTTGGACAATGAAGGATCGCCTAAGTAAGTGAATAAGTAAGTAGGGCAAAGCCACCCATAGACTGTGTTTGCAGCCCTGACTTTCTAGACTCTCTGGATTACAATTTTTCTGGCCAAAAATGAAGGCAAATCACCTTCCCCAGAAGCCTCCCGGAATGGCAGTTCCCTTTCCAAATAAGTTGCAGAGGCTTCCTTCACTTAGAACTAAAGCACAGGTCTTACTTCAAGTCTATGAAGACTGACATAAGTAGTGAAATAAATACCATTTCGGCGAGAAACCTCTCGGTTCTTAACCTCGCTTCAGTCGGCTTCTTGGTGATGGTTTTCAACATCCTAGATAAAAAAACAAATTAGGACATCATCTTCCAAGAACATTTTTAAGTCATGCTCTATGGCCTCCTTTCTTCACTGTTGCACCTCTGTAGATCACTAAGCCCTGTGCCCAATCTAGCCTGGTCAACATGACATTTCAACGGGTCAGTCTGGATTTTTTTTTTTAGCAGAAAGGGCAAACAAGCACAGATGTATTCCAGTCTTTCACTGCCCATTGTATTGTGAACTGTGTCCCAGATATCAGCTGACCTTCGTGGCTGGAATATTATCTTTTTTGCCTGACCATAAGAAAAAATATAATCCAACACTCCTGTTGTTGCCAAATGCCAACAGAAATGCATTCAGCATGAGCTGGAATTTCAAATTCAAACTAGCCATTTCACATACATTGGAGTCCATTTCTTTTATGCTGGACTGCCAGCCCACATCATTCTTTTCATAAGCATTTTGTTAAATCAATTAATGGGGGTCTGATATAGTGTTGGAAATAACAACCTTCCAAGCCTATTTGTTTGTTGATGTATATATTTGTTAACCTGTATTGTGTGTGTGTGTGTGTGTGTGTGTATATGTGTATGTGTGTGTATATATATATATATTTGCCAGTTTGACCAACCTCTTTGGTGTGGGAGGGGCTACAGACATGTGATTGTACTGAACGTGTTCAGACTGAAGACTGCATTTTGTTATAGTATGGTTTTTGGACTTCAGTGGAAACAGTTTGCATTTGGACTTATGCACAAACAGTATACTATATTTATTTATTTACTTACTTACTTCATTTATATACCGCTTTTCTCAGCCCTTAGGCGACTCAAAGCAGTTAACAAGAACAGTTTCAATACACACATTACAAAATCATGGGAACATTTAAAAGCAATAGCACAACAACAATTAAACATCAATATGACAAATTATTCACGTCTCATCAATAGAATCAGAATCCAGTCTCATCATCCGTTATTCCGTGTTCCTATAATCAATCACACTGCCTAATCGAATGCCTGTTTGAACAACCAGGTCTTCACTTTCCTCTGAAATGACAATAAGGAGGAGGCCGATCTGATATTTGTAGGAAGGGCATTCCACAGCCGAGGGGCCACCACTGAGAAGGCCCTGTCTCTCGTCCCCGCCAGGCGTGCTTGTGATGCCAGCGGGACCGAGAGCAGGGCCTCCCCAGATGATCTTAATGTCGTAGCTGGTTCATAGGAGGAGATTCGTTCGGACAGGTAAGTCGGGCCAGAACCGTTTAGGGCTTTATAGGCTAAAGCCAGCACTTTGAATTGTGCCCGGTAGCAAATTGGCAGCCAGTGGAGCTGGCGCAACAGAGGAGTTGTATGCTCCCTGAGTGCTGCTCCTGTTAGCATCCTGGCTGCCGAGTGTTGGACCATTTGAAGCTTCCGAGCAGTCTTCAGAGGCAAACCCATGTAGAGAGCGTTGCAGTAGTCTATACGGGATATAACCAGACCGTGGCCAAGTCAGACTTCCCAAGGTACGAGCGCAGCTGGCGCACAAGTTTTAACTGTGCGAATGCTCCCCTAGTCACCGCTGAAACCTGAGGTTCCAGGCTCAGTGATGAGTCCAGGATCACACCCAAGCTGCGAACCTGCGTCTTCAGGGGGAGTGTAACCCCATCCAACACAGGCTGTAACCCTATGCCCTGTTTGCTTTGAGAAGCAATGAGTACAGTTGTACAGTTTGGACTTTCATAATATGTATACTTAAAGACTTTGGACTATGGACTATTGATTAAGAATGACGCCCTGTGTTCTCAACACAAAGAAACTACATCCTATCTATAAATGTGCATGTATGCTGAATTAATACAAGATGTTTGTGAGTAAACAAGAAGACTGGGTTTTTTTTTTTCTCTGAGTGCATATTTTATACTAAGAGGTTTCAAGGGAGAATATATGTTTTGGGCAACTGCAATTTCAACTTCAAAGAAACTTTTCAAAACTTGGCTAGCTAAGTATATGCTCTTTGTGCAGCGGCATGTCTTTGTCCCTGGCAGTTCAAAGACATGGTTTATCAATTTAACAGCTGAGTTACCTGTGTGTTATTAGAGGAATGCTTGTGAACATCACTTTTTCAAAGGGTTGACTTCTAACAAGGTCATGCCTTTCCTTGAGTAGTGGTTTTCAAAAGGTGGTCTCCAGATGTTCATGGAGATCCACATTTGCCAAAAGGATAAGACATTTTTTTTCTTTTCAAAAAGATTATGAATGTCATTATCCAAAATATATTATATCTTCCTTACCAAATATTTGTAACACTTTTGCCATGCCATCAGATGCATGTGAAGGAAATTTCTACCCTCGTCTCAGCTAGGAAATGCGGTATCCTGGTGAATGGGGAGCGGGGATGGCTGTGTCGCCTTCCCCAATGGCCATCCCACAGTACTTCTCCATGGGTGAACATGAGCTCAAAGAGTAGGCACTCAAATTGGTTTAGTTTCATTTCGAGTTTGGCTGGAACAGTCCCTATTAATCAACTGCAACACCCTTTTTATCAAACGCTTTCAAAATGTCCATGATTCTGTCCTCCACTTTCTCATTTACCCCAACTGGTGCAAACTGGGTTCAAAGGGAAAAAATAGTTTGCACTCAGTTATCTTCCCAGTAGTCTCAGACCAAATTAAGCTGCTGCAGCCTCTCCTTGCTTGTCTGTTCTTTTTCATGAGTAACTTTTGCCATCTTGACCATACTTGGATATTGCTTGGCTACGTATGGCCCCATTTTATCTGTAAAATTTGGGAGGGTTTATAATAATAACAAGAACCACACATGCATTGAGATGTAGGTTGATGTGTAGTCTTCCCAAGTACCCCATTGTCTATTCATCTTCCTCCTGCAGTTTTTTTTCTTTTTTCTTTTTTTCCTGTTTGTTTGTGCAGCTACCATTTTGATTTTATATAAAGTTTATGTCTTTTTCGTAAATAATGTACTCCATCACAACCCCCTCATAAAGATTTTATACACATGCACACACACACACACAAAACTTTATTTTTGTACCTCACTTACATCTTCCCGAAGGGACTTGAAACGGTTTACATGGGGACGGGCCCAACCAACACAGTTAAAATATAACACATTAAAATATATAAACAACACCATGAAACAGAATAAAACAACAACATTATAACAAAATATAAGAGCAACCATCAAACCAACAACCAGCGAGCCTACAATAATGATCAATTTCTGGGCATGGGTGGGCGGACTGCTGCAAAAACAATTGTGAAGATAGGGCTGATGGATAAAGTGCGTAGGTAATTTGGCAACAGTAGAGATAGAGGGCAATGTAAGATTAGAGCATTATAACTCTGGGTACAGAACAATAATAAAGTGGGAGGGGAAGATTTTGGGTCCTTGCTGGGACCAAGCTATCCAGGGAATTGTCTAGTCAAAAGCACAGTGGAATATCCATGTCTTTGGATCTTTGTGGAAGATGGACAGGGTGGGTGCTAGCCTAATCTATGGCAAGCATCCTCAGAGGTTGCTTGCCATAGATGCAGGCAAAACTTCAGGAGAGAATGCTTCCAGAACATGGCCACATAGCCCGAAAAACCTACAACAACCCATGGATTAAGTAGCTGGTTTTTTTTTTTAAAAAAAAGTAATCAGAATGCAAACCTTTTGTATTTCTTGCTCATTTTTTCTCTCTCTTCTACTATCTGTGCGATTTCCTCATTGCACTTATGTTCGAAACTAAAATGCAGAGGGATATGCAAAATACGCTTGAAATGCTATCCATGAAAATGAAATGTTTTTCTTTTAAAACGTAACAACATTATTTCCCCCCCCCCCCCCAAGCTGTACAGGAAATGCTACATTTCGTTTATCGCTTTCCCTTTTCCCGTAACTTTGCTTGGAAGCTCGGCATTCCTCAAATTAATTCTGCCAGAACAGAACAGAAAGAAGAGTCACTGAAGAACTCTTTCTGGAAGGATCATCAGCTCTGAAGGCATCTGTTGTAGATGATTTGAAAACGAACAGCTTAAGCTGCCAACGCATTGTTGGTCCTTAACCTTTAGGTCATGGACCTCTGATTTTTTTGTTTTTAAGTGAACTGAACATAGAAAAGTTTTTTGGGTCTGATCTGCATGGTTTTGAACTGGCTTATTCAAAGCACCAAGGAAGCTGTGCATGCTTTCAATATCCATCATCAACCCCAAATACAGCTATGGTGAGTGGCTTGCAAAAGTTAAAGCAGATATATTTAATATTATTATTTTGTGCCAGCAGGACTGCAGACCAACAGGTCGGAGGTTCGAATCCAGGGAGAGCACAGATGAGCTCCCTCTGTCAGATCTAGCTCCCCATGCGCGGACATGAGAGAAGCCTCCAACAAGGATTGTAAAACATCCAGGCATCTGGGCATCCCCTGGGCAACGTCCTTGCAGACAGCCAATTCTCTCACACCAGAAGCGACTTGCAGTTTCTCAAGTCACTTCTGACACGGAGAAAAAAAACCCTAAACATTTACAGCATTTCTATTCCACCCTTCTCACCCCTGAAGGGGACTCAGGACGGATCACAGAACACATTCACAGCAATATGCAGTGCCATTAAACAAGATAATGCCGACAGATTATGTCAGCATTTTCCCCAACTTCGGCATCCTGTGCTCGATTCTGGCTGTAAAATACCTCCCTGCTTAAGCGGTGCCTAATTTCTCTACTCACCGCTGTTTTCAAGCCGCTTAGATGGACAGTAAGCTGGACTGAATGTCGGGTGCTCACCCCGACCCAAGCTTCCAACTGCCAACATTTTGATTGGTAAGATGTATTTATGCTGGTGATTCACCAGCTTTGCTAAAGCCCGGTCCAATATAGATAACAGGTCCAATATAACTGACCTGTTATCAGTTCTGCTTTTTAAAAATTCCCTACCTGTTGCTGCTCATTTGCACTTTTCCTTTTCTAACACAATTTTTGTAGGGCTAGGAGTCACATGTTTGCCTCTATCATATACCAAAGAACCAAAAGTGACCCAAAAAACCCCCCATCCCAACGGAAGAAACCAAAAGTGGAAGGAGACATTATGTCTGCTTCCAGTTTTAATTTTTGGCAGCCCAGGAGGGTGCTTTGTATGCTCCTCTCCCTGGGGTACATAAACTTCCATTCCTAGCAAAGCAAACCCCATTCCTTGTTAATTCATCCTTTTTCATGCTGGAGAAAGCATTGAGTTGAGATCACACACAAAAAGGCCCATGGGGCATATATATGGCCTACTGCCCGTACTTGCTTTACAACTGTGAATTTCTAACATCCAAAAATGGCATGTGAATCACAGCTGCTATCTCACTTGCTGGCCAAAGGCGCTGAAAGTTATTATCAGTTTTTTCCCTGTTGAATAACTGGACAGAGCAGCGACTGCAATTTGGCTTCTACAATCACCAGTTAACCTAATGAGTATTTGAATGCACCATCATTAGTTTGATACCATTTGTGTAGGTTCATAGATGACCACTCGGAGACCTATAGTTACTGGTAACAACTTGTCTTGCTGATTTTCACTCTTAACATCAGCCGTCCTATCTCCTGCCCTAGCTATGAGTCACAAATTCCCATTTTCTCTTTCACAATGCCACCAATGAGTTTATATACATACATACTTTCATCAAGGAACAGGAAAGATTCATCAGGCAGCTAGGAATTAGGTAAATTAGTTTTTTTAAAAGGCCAAGAGTGTTACACTCCAGGACACGAATAACCCCCTGACTTTAAAAGTTGAATAGGAAAAGCAATCCTTTTATTGAAGATAAGTAAAAACAGGAAAGTAGAAAAACACTTTAAAGGAATAGGTAAATCCAATTAGGTAAAAAGATAAGCAGGAACACATTAGTCCAAAGTAGAGTTCAGCCATGTCCAAAAGCAAAGTCCACAAGTCTCTAACAAAATCCAAAGAATCAGGAAACATTGATCCAAGGCATGAGCAAATAATCACAAGAGACAAAAACCAAACCATGAAATAAGAAATCTTTAAGCATGAATCTTCCAAGCAAGGCTTCTATGAGACGAGGACAAGAACTTAGCAGGTTTCTCAACAATGCTTCATCTGACTATTTTTTCCATGCTTGGAACATAAAAGCCTTTCCAAGCACTCAGAAATTGGTTTCACTTTCCCTGAACAGCCCTTATCTTTTTCTGTTGAAGCCTGACAGAATGCTGAAGGCCTTGCTTGGCCTGTCTGTTTTGATTAATTTCCGCTTGCCTATCTATATTAGTTTCTGCAGGTGCCAAGTTGTTTTCAAGCCCCAAATCCTGGGAACTCTCTGAGAGCAATTCAGGGAGTAAATAACTATCCCTATACCCTGTAGGAACATTCCCATGGGAAACTACACTTTGAACAGGTGTCTCTATGTCATTCTCTGCATCAATATCACTGACCAAACCATTGCCATCTTGAACCTCATTTACATCATTCCCACATCCAAAGCACCCCGATCCTGGAACATAATCAAAGGCAGAACTCCAACAAAGAGTTTGAATCACTTGGTTCTCCGAAGGGCCTTGAAGCATAGGTAAAGACCAAAAGACACTTCAAAAATTATAGGTAAGAGCAGATAATTCATACCTCGTGGGTTGACTTGAGATCTCCAAATAACTCCCCACTTGAACACTGTTTTAAAGAAAATACTTTACATTCGGCATATACTCACTCAATTAAATCACTGCGCAGATTTTCTGTAAACTCTTGACTCTTCTCAATAACATCTAGGTAAGTTGGAGAAACGGGTGTGCTGTCGTTTTGGTCAAGGGAAAGGATAGTTTGCTTTCTGATCCTTTCAGAAGTTTGCTGTGTCAAATATTTATATTGTTCAAAAGAAGGTGTGTTGAATTTGGCCTACAAACTATCTACAGACCCACTAAGAAAATCTAACAAATGCTACGTTCAGTAAAGGAAAAGAGGGATCCTCTCACCTCTGGAGGAGTTTATCATATACCATGCAGCTGTGGACAAATCGCATAGGGACCACCAAATGCAGTATTGCCCAAAGACGCTCCAGATTAACTTAACCAGAGAAGTCAGCCATAGCTGAGCACCTGATGAACCTACCTGGACAGAGCATATTATTTGAGAACACAGAAATGCTGGACCACTCTCACAACCACTATGTCAGGCTATACAGAGAAGCCATTGAAATCCACAAGCATGTGAACAACGACAACAGAAAGGAGGAAACCATGAAAATGAACAAAATTTGGGTATCGGTGTTAAAAAAACCCCTCTAAAATCAAGACAGTAAATAAATAACAATACTGAAAAAACAGGAATTCCAGACAAGAATCAATCAGGGGCAAGCTAACACCTCCCAACATAGGATTCCCCCAGGCAGCAATCAGCAGCAAGGCCAATAAATGCTAATCAAGGTGGCAACATTCACACTGGCCTCAAGCAAACAAATGTTCTTTCTCCCACCCTGGACAATCCACAGATATATAAACTCACTTGCCTAGTTTTCCAACAGACCTCCCAACCTCTGAGGATGCCTGCCATAGATGTGGGCGAAACATTAGGAGAGAATGCTTCTGGAACATTTATTTATTTATTTATTTATTTATTTATTTATTTACTGTATTTGTATACCGCCCTTCTCAGCCTTCAGGGCGGTTTACAACGGCAAYGATTCGATGCCCAAAACCACCATAAAACATTTAAAAACATTAACAYATAATATAAAACCATAACAAGAATATTAAAACATAGATCATTTGCGTCTCATAATAAAAAAACATTGTCCCGTCCAGTTGTTCCAATTCCTTTGTCTTACCTTGCATTTTCAAATGGTTGCTCRAACAACCAAGTCTTGAGTCTTTTTCAAAATGTTCAGASGGAGGGGGCCAATCTAATGTCCCTAGGAAGGGCATTCCATAGCCAAGGGGCCACCACTGAGAAGGCCCTGTCTCTCATCCTCACCAAATGTGTTTGTGACGCAGGCGGAATCTAGAGYAGGGCCTCCCTGGACAATCTTAAAGTCCTAGCAGGTTCATAAGGGAAGATGCATTCAGACAGGTTCAGAACATGGCCATACAGCCCAGAAAATTCACAGCAACCCACTAAAAAGTTGTGTTGGAAACGGCCCCCAAAACTCATCCAGACAACATGGCCAAGTGGGATTGTAGCCTACCGAGACCTGAGCTTCAGCAGTACTAATACCCGACACCAATCTCTCTTTTTCATTGCTTACCTGCACCTCATTGCTGTGGGAAGTATACAGATATCCCAGTTACCATCCTTACATCCTATAACACAAGCATGTTCACGAATTTCAACAACAGATGAACAATGCTATCAACAACTCTTTAGTACAGATTTTTCTCCTCTACCATTTGGAAACATTTGGGTATATATAGGCGAGCAGAGTGCTAAGGATTCTTCTAAAATGCTGCAAGGAGCCTCAGAAATTAGTCTTTATTGGGAATGGCTAACTCTGCCAAAATCCAGACTACCTGGAAATGATTTTATTTGCAAGACAGAACAAAATTAATTAAAATGACCTGCACTTCCTAAGCCCCTTGCAATTTAACAGAGGGAAGCCAACATCATGGCTAGGCACGATAATTTGAAATCATTTGAATGATGCTAGGGGTGCGATGTTAGAGCCAAGACACAATGCATAAACTCTCTGAAAAGTTGGCTGGTGCACAGCAAGGAGGCTCCAAGTGCTACAAATTATGTCCAAGTTTAGATCCCAAAGTTGCACGTTCTTAAGACCCAGGTGACCAATCCAAACGTAGTACAGAAATGCATCTTGTTGGACAACTGGAATACATTAATCCAACAAAATCATGAGCTGTCTGCTCACTTGATAACTCACAACTCATTCTTGCTGAGGGATTACAGCGCTCTTTGTCAAATGTTCTGCCTTTGTGAAACACATTCCACTTCATTCTTCCTGTTGAGGAACCTATGGAGACCTGAGTGTGAGCAATTCCCTGCACACAAATGTGCACCGCAAATAGTTTATTTTGGACATTACGCCTTTCAAATCACTTTGCCTGAGGGACCTCAGAAAAATTATAATAACTGACCTATAGCGAACCTCCTTCCCAATCCAAAGCACATACTTAATTTCTTCTCTTCCCAACTCCACAATCATCTAACCTCCTTTTTAAACAAATTGAACTGTACCATTTTAGTACAACTTTCAGAGGGTTTTTTCAACACAATATGTTCTATTTTTTTAAAAAAGGATATGGTATCTTGCAGATTTCACTGTGATTGATCCTGTAAGCCCGACTGTTTGCTAAAGTACTGGCTATTCCATGCATCTGTAAATAATATAGGACGAGTGGACTTTGGCCACCAAGGTTGAATAGCGAACGCTGGAAGTTTGGCCCATCTCCAATATAATGCGACTACAAAGAAGGTAGAAAGAGGCATTATTATAGGTGACACATTATTGTAAGTCAGTGTTCCTCAGCCTTCCTAATTCCTCAACCCCTTATTACAGTTCCTCATGTTGCGGTGACCACCAACCATAAAATTATTTTTGTTGCTACTTCATAACTGTCATTTTGCTACTATTATGAATCGTAATGGAAATATTTGATATGCAGGATATACATGGTCATATAGCCCGAAAAACCTACATCAACCCAGTGATTACTTCTTACTTACTTAGGCGATCCCTTGTAGTCTGAGGATGATGGTCCTCCAAGTGTAGTATCCTGGCGGCGGGCCCATAGGTGACTGTGGAGCCCGATTCTTGATCTGCATCTTCTCCCGCAGTGAGGGCATTGGTTTCCGGGTGGAAGGCGGTATCAGTCGGGGTTGGCTTGACGCACCTTCCTCTTGGCACGTTTCTCTCTTTCATCCTCCATTTGTGCCTTTTCAAATTCTGCAACATTGCTGGTCACAGCTGACCTCCAGCTGGAGCGCTCAAGGGCCAGGGCTACCCAGTTCTCAATGTCTATACCAGAGTTTGAGCCCGTCTTTAAATCTCTTTTCCTGCCCACCAACATTCCATTTTCCGTTCTTGAGTTCGGAGTAGAGCAACTGCTTTGGGAGACGGTGGTTAGGCATCCGGACAACGTGGCCGGTCCAGCGGAGTTGATGGCGGAGGACCATCGCTTCAATGCTGGTGGTCTTTGCTTCTTCCAGCTCGCTGTCCGCTTGTCTTCCCAAGAGATTAGCAGGATTTTTCAGAGGCAGCACTGATGGAATCATTCTAGGAGCTGCATGTAACGTCTGTAGACTGTCCACGTCTCGCAGGCGAATAGCAGGTTTGGGAGGACAATAGCTTTATAAACAAGCACCTTGGTCTCCCTACGGATGTCCCATCCTCAAACACTCCGGCCATGAAAGCCTTCAACAATACGCAACAGCAGTAAATGACTAAACCGAATGCCTAGATGACAGAATTGGACAATGTTTTTTAACAAGGAGATGCTACTGTTGTTGATTTTTTATTGCTTCCGTTGTGGTTTTATATTGTTTTAATGTTTTAATTTGTATGATGATATTATGTACACTGATTTGTTATAACCCGCCTTGAGTTGCCAACAGGCTGAGAAAGGCGATATACAAATGCAGTAAATAAATAAATAAATAAAATAAATGCCACTCAACCTTGAATCCTAATCCTCCAACCTAGAACCTCCATTATGCATTTTTCTTATATTATTATGGCACTCCTGAAACAGAAAAATGTAAATCTCAGAAAAGAGGGCAAGGGAGGTTATATGGGAAGACTACAGTTGGACATGAAGTCCAAAAGATGATGATGCTGATTATTATTATTATTATTATTATTATTATTATTATTATTTACTTTTCTCCCGCTTTTCTCCCATGAATGGGACTCATAGCGGTATAAAATGACATCCATAAGCTGCTTTAGGAAAATTGATTGGCTATGGTAGGAGATTTGGGGATTAAAAGAAACCGTGGGGCAGGTCGAACATAAACCGATTCCTTTTGCACTGACTCCTTGACAACTTTGGGCTAACAAAGCAATCTTAAGTCAAAATGAGTAAGGTAGGCAGAATAGAATAGAATAGAATAGAATAGCATCTTCTGATGTTAATGAGCATTGGTTCCAAACATACCTCTTTCTTTTCTTTCTTCAGCTTTTTCTTGGGTACCTCCTTTACCTCCTTTGCCAACTGAAACCGCACTACACAAAAAACAAACAGAAATTCAACCATTCATGCTGTTTTTGTGAATTTTCTTGAGGCACCTGGATTTTCCATGGTTAGAAGCACAAAGTGGTTCCTGCGGTGTAATGCATCCAACCATTTCAATCACCCAAGAAGGAGTAGCTGGACCCATGGCCAGAAAATAATAATAAGCTGTCACAATATGAGAATTTAAAGATCAAACTGCAAAGACTCTGGCACAAACCAGTCAAGGTGGTCCCAGTGGTGATGGCACACTGGGTGCAGTGCCTAAAGACCTTGGCCTGCACTTAAACACAATTGGCGCTGACAAAATTACCATCTGCCAGCTGCAGAAGGCCACCTTACTGGGATCTGCACGCATTATTTGCCGATACATCACACAGTCCTAGACACTTGGGAAGTGTCCGACGTGTGATCCAATTCAACAGCCAGCAGAGTGTCTGCTGTTGACTCATCTTGTTGTGTTTCAAATAACAACAACAACAACAACAACAACAACAACAACACTTTATTTATAGTCCGTCCTACTCACCCTGAAGGGGACTCAGGGCAGATCACTGTACACATACACAGCAAACATTCAATGCCGTTTTATAGACAGTACACAGACAGACAGAACAGAAGGAGGTGTGTTGTTCCGATGCCATGGACAGTTGGGCTCGAGTCCATAGGGGGTACTGTTGCTCCATCTTCTATGACGAAGAGCCATCAGGACTTCCTCATTCCAGCATTTTCTGATTTTTTCTTTATGGTGTTGTAAAACACTTCCCCCGCTTTTAGTGGTACCTAATTTCTCCAATTACAGCTTAAGCTGTTTTCGAACTGCTTAGGTAAACAGTAAGCAAGGCTGACAGTCGGCTGCTCACGCCAACCCGGGCTTCGAACTTGCAACCTTTAGCTTGATAGATCTTATAGTTGCTGATGATTTACCAGCTGTGCTAAACCTCCGGCCAAAGAGGAAGCCCCATCTGCCTGAATTCTGGATCATTCTAAAAATGGCCATTAAGTGGTTGGGTAGGTTCCAGGGCCAGTGCAGATTTGGGGATGCATTTGGCAAAATGACTGTGAGAGCAGTAACTGGTAGCAGGAGTGAGCTCCCGCTGTTAGCCCCAGCTTATGCCAGCCTAGCAATTCAAAAACATGCAAATGTGGACAGATCAATAGGTACCACTCCGGTGGGAAGGTAACGGTGCTCCTTGCAGTCATGCCGGCCACAGGACCTTGGAGGTGTCTATGGACAACACTGGCTCTTTGGCTTAGAAGTGGAGATGAGCACAACCTCCCAGAGTCGGACTCGACTAGACCTAATATCAAGGGAAACCTTTACCTTTTTAACAGCTCATGGGCAGTACTCTTTAAAGGAGGAGCAAATCAGAGCAGACAACACTGAGCTAGGTGGGCAAATCATCTGCAAATGTCTCTGAAGAAGAAAAATATCCAGAAAAAGATGCAGTAATAGAGCCCTTCAGATAATGGGGGAAACAAATGTTGTAGTCATTCCCAAGCCAAATGCACTTTAGTCAAAGGTCACCAAGAACATGCAAAAGAAAATGTTCTTGGTGAAGTTAGATATGGGGGCCCAAATAAGGGTGTTTTATTTTTGTGCATGACAGGAAGTTTATCAAAGAAACCAAACGGCAAAGACATACTAATTCAGGTATGTATACACACATAGTAGCCGTCCCCTGCCATGCATTGTATATGTGTTTTGTGTGTGTATATATGTGTTTATGTTTGTGTATATATTTGTGCATATGTGTATATATGCGTGTTTATGTGTATATATGTGTGTGTGTGTATTTATGTGTGTATTTGTGTTTATATGTGTATATGTATATTTTGTAATTGTGTGTGCTTGGGTATATGCAAATATGCATGTATATGTGTGTATGTATGTGTATATGTATATGCGTGTAGGTGTATGCGTATGTGTGTGTATTTGTGTGCACTTGCATATATATGTGTGTGTGTGTGTGTATGTGTGCATGTGTATATGTATATGATTGTATGTGTATATATGGTTTATTTTAGGGGGGTTTAGAGTCCGTTCTGCTGGGGATTTTTTTGTGTGTTTTTAGGGCTGATGGACAGCCGTTGGCCTGATAGGTGTATTGTGTCCAAATTTGGTGTCAATTCGCCCAGTGGTTTTTGAGTTATGTTAATCCCACAAATGAACATTACATTTTTATTTATTTATTTATTTATTTCGCGCATTTCTACCCCGCCCTTCTCAACCCCCAAGGGGGGGACTCAGGGCTGCTTACAAAAGGCACAATTCGATGCCAGCATAAACATAAACAATGGATAAAACATGTATACAGCAATTATAACAATTAAACAGTCACTTTATACAACAAAATCAATACAAATCGATCAATAAAACCAATCAATATTCAGGTACATCTATCTATTGATAGATAGATGTATCTAAATAAACATGTATGTATTTCCCTCATGTCATTAAAAATAAACAGTTGCCTTCGTTCTGTAAGCTGGCATGACAGCAAAAGCAAGCCATTTGGCTAATATACATTACAAAGAGCTCGCAAATGCTGTGTCACAAGGTGCTTGGAGATACTATGTCTCCAAAACTACATTCACTGGGGATACAATCATTACAATATTTCCACAGCATAGGAACCAAAAACATGTAATAAATTCTAGTGTCTTCTCAACAAGTTTTGGGCGAGTGGATACCACTTACATCTCCCCACCCCCAGCTGTTCCTCAAGGCTATATTTACCTCTGCTGCACTTTCTACCTCATTAATAATGATCTTGGCAGATACATAATTTTGACTAGCACAAATTGCATTTATTTTATTTAAAGACATTGTTCAGTTGGGATGCATCCTCCTCATTTTGTCCATAAAAGGCTTGTCCATATTGAGCTCAGTAGACGGGAGCATTCTATGTTTAAAGAGCAGCAAACCAGCAGTGTGTGTATATGTGTCACGCTGGCCTTCATTCAACATTGTGCTTGCATTACAGCTGTGGTTGTACTCACAAAAATCTGGTACAGGAAATCTGGAACTGAATCCAGCCCCTTCTGCTCTTTGTCTTCAATTCAGTGGCACTATTTTCAGTATTCACTGTCTCAGAAGCTGGATTGAGGGTGGGGGGCAGAGGGAAAACTCTGGGTCTACTACCCATTTTCGTGGGTAAACAGGGTAAGATGGGCAACTCTGGGATCACCTTTCACACATGTTGACTTCTCCATTGCAACAAATGGGACATTTAAGAATATTCAAGACTCATCGAGGTTCTTATAAAAGAGGACTGGGCTGGGGATAGGTAAAGGTATTCCCCTGACATGAAGTCCCGTTGTGTCCGACTCTGGGGTGTGGTGCTCATCTCCATTTCTAAGCCAAAGAGCCGGCATTGTCCATAGACACCTCCAAGGTCATGTGGCCAGCATGACTGCATGGAGCGCCCTTACCTTCCCGCTGGAGCGGTATCTATTAATCTACTCACATTTGCATGTTTTCGAACTGCTAGATTGGCAGAAGCTGGGGCTGACAGTGGAAGCTCACACTGCTCCCCAGATTTGAATCTGCGACATTTCGGCTGAAGATAGAAACACTTATAGACTTTTCAATCGACAAGAACAATTGGAGCAGACTATAAAAACAGCTGTGTGTATCTTTAGGTTGAAGCATAGGAAAATATAATTTGACCATTCCCTTATCAGGGACATTCCAGTTCACATGAAGGCCCTTTCACTTTGACACAATAATCCTAACACAGGTATTATTGATACAATAACCCGAACACAACTCTATCACTCCTTTCCACCTGTTGCTAAGGAGGGTGATGAGGTCCTGAACCGGTGGCTTGGAGGCTGTGATGGTCTGTGTCGCACCTCAGAGTAGAATCACCTTGCTTTCAGACACCAAACAGCACACAAGCAATAGTCTTTATGGTTTATTAAAGTAAAAGATAAAAAGTTCAAAAAGGCAAAAGTATAGTTCCAAAGATCAATATAAGGAAAACAGGAACCACGAAGATATAAGCAAGGCAAAGTCCTATAAGAACATGACAAATTCCTGAAACCATGAACATGAAAACTGCAAGATAAATCCTCGGTTTCTTGGCTGAAGCGAGAAGTTGCTCTGACACTGGGATATTTTCAAACAGCCTGTTTAATACACTTTGGAAAACATGAAGGCGTCCCTCTGGCCCTTGGCCTCCCTCTCTCTCTCTTGCTAATGATTCTCACACTTCTTTTAACCTTAAATTCCAAGCGATCAGCTCGATCTAAAGCTCCGGCCTCATCAAGGTCAATCTGTTTGTTAGTGCTTTCTTGCTCATTATCTGGCTGAGAGCAACTGTCCTCCTTTCCTGAATCAAAATGCACCTGGCTTTCAGTAGTTTCACTATCAACAGTGGCATCCCTTGCTGTGGGAAACAACTGAACTTCTGTACCCTGTTCTTCCTCATCTATCACATCGCTTTGCACCTGACTGTGAATCTGAATCCTATCATCCTCATCAGACTCATTGACACCATCACTCTGAGATTCCAGCTGAGTCACAACAGTCTGGATGAAGGCGAGCAAATTGAAATTGAATCTGTCAAGACAGAGATACTCCTGGTCAGTTGGAAGGCTGAACAGGGCATATGGTTACATCCTGTGCTGGACGGCATTACACTCCCCCTGAAGACAGGTTTCAGCAGTGGCCAGAGGAGCTTCTTCACAATTGTACGCCAGTTGTGCTCATACCTTGGGAAATCAGACTTGGCCACAGTGGTCCATGCTCTCATTACATCCCGAATAGATTACTGAAATGCACTCTACATAGGGTTGCCTTTGAAGACTGTTTGGAAGCTTCAAGTGGTCCAGTGGACAGCAGTGTACAGGGAGCATACAACCCCCCTGTTGCATCAGCTCCACTGGCTGCCAATTTGCTACCAAGCTCAATTCAAAGTGCTGGCTTTGGCCTTTAAAGCCCTAAACATTTCTTGTCCAACTTACCTGTACAAATGCCTTACCTGTC